ACCGATTCCCAACAATATTACACTAGCAGATGATAGGTTCAATGAACCCAAAAATATAGATATCCTCATTGGTGCAGATTCTTATTGGAATCTCATATGTACAGGTACGATTCACTTAGGAAAACATCTACCAGTGCTACAAAAAACAGTCTTAGGGTGGATAATTTCAGGGCCACTTGGATTATCTAAATTAACATCAAATAATAGCAAATGTCATTTTACGAAAGTCACGATTTAGAATCACAGGTCGCAAGGTTTTGGGAATTAGATACCATTCCGGACAACAAGCAGTTGTCAAATGAAGAACAGCAAGTGGAAGAACATTTCATAAACACAGTTCAACGTGATACATCAGGTCGATTCATTGTATCAGTTCCGTTAAAGGAACCAATATCAAGGTTAGGGAACTCAAAGGACATAGCAATGAAACAGTTTTACAGTTTAGAGAGAAAGCTAGCAGTCAACCCCCAACTAAAGAAGTTGTATTCAGACTTCATGAAAGAATATGAAGAATTAAACCACATGACACGGTTTACTCCTAGTGATACTCAAATTACCTATTATTCACCACACCATGGTGTTTTAAAGGAAGAAAGTGACACTACCAAGCTTCGTGTTGTTTTCAATAGTTCCGCATTGTCATCTTCAGGACATTCATACAATTCCATTCAAATGGTAGGTCCAGTAGTTCAAGATGAATTGTATTCAATTATGTTAAGGTTTAGACAACATAACATAGTAATTTGTGCAGACATTTGTAAAATGTACAGACAAGTGATGGTACACAAAAGGTTCCATCCGTTGCAATTAATTGTTTGGAGAAACAATCCTAACGAAGAACTGCAGACATATGCGCTCAACAGGGTAGTGTATGGCACTGCAAGTGGTCCATATTTGGCCACGAGATGTCTGGTCCAGTTAGGTATCGAAAATGAAAAATCCAATCCAGAAGCAGCTCGAGTCATAAAGAATGATTTCTTTGTAGATGATTTAATTACAGGTGCAGATTCAGTCAATCAAGGAATCATATTGTGCCAACAAATAGATGAAATATTAAAATCAGGAGGATTTCATCTCAGAAAATGGAAATCAAACAATTTGGAGGTATTCACAAATATTCAGCATACACAAGAATTTGATGAATTTTATTTTGGCTCTTCAGAAGCGTCAAAGGTGTTAGGGCTTTATTGGTCAGCAAACAAGGATGTCTTTTCTATGAAGGTAGCGTTACCCCAAGTTACAAAATTCACTAAACGACTTATCTTATCCGAAATAGCAAAGATCTTTGATCCATTAGGTTTAATTAGTCCTTTAATTATTAAAGCAAAAATATTGCTTCAATCGCTTTGGTCTTTACATTTATCTTGGGATCAAGAGGTTCCACTAGACATTCGCAATAAATGGATTTCTATAAGAACAGATCTTAAAGAACTGAACTCACTCCAAATTCCTAGACATGTTGTTTGTATGGATCGAGTACATGTTGAAATTCATGGGTTTGCTGATGCGTCTCAGTCTGCCTATGGTGCATGTATCTATGTACGGTCCACTGATTCAAATAACACTATTCAAACTAGTTTACTTACGTCCAAAACAAGGGTTGCACCATTAAAAACCATCAGCATTCCAAGGTTGGAATTATGTGCTGCGCTTTTGTTAGCAGAATTATTTCAGAAAGTTGTTAAATCGTTAACAATCTCAATTGATGATTACTATCTGTGGAGCGACTCCACAGTTACACTAGCATGGATTAAAACTTCTCCTCATATGTTACAAGTTTTTGTGGGGAATCGTATAGCTCAAATTCAATCTCTCACAAATGTAGATAAATAAATAAAATAAATAAAAAGAGAAGAATCGTCACCCGCCAGCCGAGAGTGACAGTCGGTCGAATAGATAGGTAGAGGTTAAGATATAGCATGTGGAAATAGTCGATTTATTTTTGTTATAAGAGTTTGAATAATAAATTTGGTATCTGTGCACATATCCTTTAATTTTACAAGAGATACAGTCCACTAGCGAAGTTAAACCAGCGCACCAGTTACAAAGGCGAACAGAATCATTCAAGAAAACAAGAATGGTCTAACCTACGCCAACATAAAACACTATTTGGTGGCAAATTTAGGAGAAAACATAAAGATTTTTTATTGTAGCATTATTTTGATACCTATTAAAAATTAACTTAAATTCAATTATATTTTATTGATTATAACACACATCTTCGATACAACAGCCAATAAATACAAGATGATAATATTAGCAGAAAAAACCAAATATATGACATCTAAATACCCACTACGATATAAAAATCGAAATTGATGAGAAAATAATAAAGCAGGAAGCAAGGTTTAAATATCTCGGCACAGATATAACTAATTACGCAGATGTTGAAGAAGGAGTACTACAACAAAGCTTAAAAGCAACACACAAAACCAGGAATTCATTAAGCACCAATTAGACCTATATTAACATACACGACGGAGACAAGACCTGACACATCTAAAACGAGACGACTACTAGAAATAACAAAGATAAAAATACTCCGACGAATATGGGTGACAAAACGAAAACAAGAGTGGAAGGAACACATTAGTAAAATGGCACAAAATAAGATACGAATAGCACGAGATAAGTATTGGCAGACCAAGAAAAAGATAGTGCGATAATTTTATCAATTTAGAAGGCCAATAATAAAGAAGCAACAAGCTTTAAAGCCTACATTCAAGAAGGGAGAAGAAGGACAAGTCTTTGAGCCTAAAACCTTGTAAGGTTTATCCTAGATCTTCATTGTAATACATCTTGATACGTTTTAAATTAGATGAGATGAGTCTGTAATGAGAGTCTGGTATATTTTGACTGTAGTCGTATTTTTGCTCATTTACTTATTTTTCAAGGCATTTGATATAGGAATCTCGAAATCAATTTACCTTTTTGTATCTAATGTTTTATTTTGGGTAATGGTCTTCTTGCCATCAATTACAATTTTTGTATTTACATAGCTAATAACATGCATGTTGTAGATCCAATTTGGTAAAATAGATAAGTATCTTTCTGTGTCATCTTCGGTTTTTATCTATTATTGATTCGAGTCTTAAGCAAGGCTTAGCGATTAGTCGAGGCTTATCAAGCAATGCTTGCCTAACTTTCAGATATAGCCAATTTGAACCATAATCAAATTAAATATAAATAAACTACTATTGTAACCTCAACTAGACGCGAGATAAATTAGTTTCCAGGGCTTTCATTATTTTTGGCTATTTATATTAAAGTGAATGTGGTATATAATTTGCAACAAAGAGTTCTTCAGCTAAACTCTCTTGAATGACCATGTTAGTTCCAGAAGTATAAATATTATAACAACAATCAATACTTTTTTTAAATTGTCTTTTTTTTCTGTAATATGGCTTTGGCAGAGCCAATTAGACAGACTTGTTTGTTTTTATTGTTAAAATCGATTGAATTTTAATTATTAGTGATTGAAGATTCATAGTCAAAATTTTTTTGTTATAAGTTATCAATGTTAGTACTACATATACCTAATATTTATACATAAATTATATTTTGATATATTTTTTTTGTTTCTTTTTTTATTCTTTTATTATCTTCTTTTTTTGTTTTGTTTTCTTTTTTTGATTTGTTGTTTTTTTTTGTTTTTTTTGTATTTATTTTTTTTTGTTTTTTGTTATATATTATCTATTTTCTTAATTCTTTTGTTTTTGTTCTTAATTTGTGTTATAATTTTATTTTTCAAACCATATTAATAGATTATGCCTATGTACTATTTACATCTTGTATTTACACATTTTAACATGTTTGTAAATGCAATGAAGAATTTCCATATTATTTGAAAATATTAAAAGATTAAGGTTTATTGGAAAACAACACTTAGAATTTATTAATTCCTTATAAACTTCGTTTATATTATTAATTTGTAAATCACATTCTAATATAATATAATGTGTTAGATCGTCTATTTTGCCACAAATTGGGAGTATTTGATAAGCCGATTCCATGCATGTAAGATGGCGTAAGAGGATGATTTGCTCGCAGCCGATTAATGGTCTTTATAAAATGTCGGTGAGATTCTGTGTAGAACCATCTTCTTGAGGGTATCCCAGTGTTACAATGATAAAAATTTAAGCCAGTCTTACATTCTGTGTAATGTAAATGCCAATTATTTTTAAGTTTTTGTCTACTAACGGTGTCAATATCTGTCGCTGGAATTAAATTTTTGTTTACTTTTACTCCAAGCATATATGCCGATTTAGCCAAATTGTCAACGATCTCATTTCCTTTTATTCCCGAATGGCCCTTGATCCATGTAATTATTACATTTAATCCTAATGGTATGGTTTCATAAAGAATTTTAAGAATTTTCAGTTCAATGTGGTTTATGTGTTTGACTGTTTGTATGTTGTTAAATCTGTCTACCACGCTTTTACTGTCAGCAAATATAACATAGTTGTTAGTAGGATTTTGTACTACATAGACAGATGAAGAGCAAACAATATTGCCATCATTTCTGCTGTATATATTAAGCATTCACTGGGTAAGCTATACTGATGATGGCAATTTTTATTTTCGTGGAACATTGCACAGCCCGTTCCATTTGCATCTTTTGACCCATCAGTAAAAATGTACTGATAATTTGTCCATTTTTCTTTAATAATTATATCAAACATATTTGGGAGTAAATGTGAGTTTAAGTAACATATCCTAACTTTTCTAGAAAATAGTGTTTTTGGCCATTTCACCATAGTAGGGCGGAATTTGACTTTTATAGAGAATATCGTTGTATTTTACAGTACTTACATAGCTTTCTACCAAAGGTATAGATTTTTTAGTTCTCCAGTACCTATGGGTAAGGTCTAAAACTGATAAATTGTCTTTTAATTATCTATTTGCAGAATGGTGTCGGTTTAAATTTTTTTCTTCGAAGGCCAAACTTATCTTTATTTGTAAGTCATCATACTTTTTAATTGTAATACTTTTATTTATTTGGAATTTCTACACCTTCAGGGATATAAAAGAAATAAAACCAGAAAACAACTAAGTTTTAAACCATATACACACTATATTACAAAAAATTATCTCAAACAACTGAGATACTTATAAAATGGCACAATTTAAACAATATCAGTTGTTGCAGAAGGCACTGTTGATTCTTCTTTAACTTCAGCTGAAGTATGTTCGACGGCTGGTTCGCTGGTTGAGCTAACTTCTACAGCTGGAGCAGCGGGTTGTGGTTCTACTGAAACGGTTTCATCTGATCTGCCTTCAACGAATCCAGATCTAGATTCGAAAATGCCTCCGGATACTCCAGTTTCACTTTTAGATTCTACAGAAACAGATTCTTTTTCTACATTGACAACTCCATCTTCTGGATGACTTCTTCTAAATTCTTCATAAGATTGAAGACCTTGCTGGTTGTCGTTTCCGAAAGATTGTAGTCCTTGGTTTGCTCCAAAGGAGTGTTGGAATTCTTGTCCGATACCTAAGTTAGATTGGTCTCCAAGCCCTTGGACGGATTGATCGAAAGCAGCTTGGCTGTTGACCAAAGATTGTTCAGCGATATTGGAAAGAGATTGTCCAATTGATGATTGTTCCAAAGAAGCTTGACTTGGCAATCCAGATTGTCCGACGGACAATTGCTCTAGAGAAGAACGACCAAAGGAGGATTGATCGGAAAGTCCAGATAATGATTGACCAGCCAGAAGGTTTTGTTGTCCTTCCAAGTTTCCGTAGGATTGACCGTATACATAGTTGGGGATGTTAACAACTGAAACAAATGATTTTGTTAACAAACACTTACTGACTAAACTAAAAATTTATACTCTACCTCGTCCAGCTTGTACAGCAGCAGCGTGTTCACATGGGGTAGCGTGAGCGTGAGCTCCTGCAATTTGTGGTACTTTAAGAAGGATTCTCTGAGGTACTCTGATGTGAACTGGAGTTGGTACTTCAACTGGGTATGGTTTAGGTACAGGTACTCTAACTTCTACTTTCTCTTTAACGTATACTGGCTTTTCTACTTCAACACGGACTTGCTTGGTTTTGTAAACTGGGTATGGTCTGGGAATTTCTACTGGTACTCTAAAAAACAACATTAATAAAAGATTTGTTTTATCTATAATTAAAGTGCAAACTGTTACCTTTCGGGTACTGCTACAGGAACTCTGTGTTCTACTTTAACTTCGTATGGTTTGGGTACTTCTACTGGTACTCTTACTTGAACAGGAACAGCGTATGGTTTTGGTACTGTTACTTTGTATGGAGTTGGTACTTGAACGGTCTTAGTTACTTCATAGGGGACTGGTTTGGGTACATATACAGGTACAGCCTTACTGATGTAATTGTAACTGTGAGTGGGATTTACGTGTTGCTCTAAAATTATATTTTAAAGTTATTATATATAAGTATTATTTTCGTTTTGGTAATTTAAAAGTGTTTTGACGTTTACCTTGAGAATAACTTTGTACAACTTGGGATTGAACTGGTAATTGAGCTTGAACTGGCAATTGGTATTCTCCTAATAATATTTAAAATAATTATGTAAATATAAAATTTTTAAAGTGTTTTAAATATTTTACCTTGAGAATAGCTCTGTGCAAGTGGTAACTGGGCTTGAGCAGATTGGAAATTCTGAACTTCTCCTAGTACTTGGGATGATTGTAATCCTTGTAATCCTTGTAGTCCTTGTACTCCTTGTAATCCTTCTAAATCATAAAGCAATAAAATTAATAAAACTTATTTTTATATTGTAACAAGTCATTACAATCTTATTATTAAACATTGCTGAATAGAAAATTAATTTGATTTGATGATATGACTTCGGACTAAATTAATCTGCCTAACTTCTAATTGTCATTTAAAACTTCAATATAAAATAATTTTGTATGAGTATTATTTCGGTTTTATACATTTATAAATACGTTAAATACTTTACCTTGGGAATAGCTCTGTTCAAGTGGCAACTGGGCTTGAGCAGATTGGAAATGTTGGACACCTCCTAGTACTTGGGATGATTGCAATCCTTGTACTCCTTGTAATCCTTGAAGTCCTGAAATCAAGAAAATTAATCGATTATTTAAAAAATCCGTGTCACCGTGTTTGTTTTTTTTTTGTTTATTTGCTAGCTCTGAGAATAAAGTGTAGGCTTTTCTATACCTCTAAATGATGAAAGTATTTCACTCCAGATTTTTTAAAATCTGATTAGTTTTTTTCTTTAGCATTCGAATATAAGCCAGATATGACGCTCATTTAAAAGTGATGATTACTGCTATGGACAAGAAATGTCTCCATTGTCATATTTTTATGTTGTCATAACCAAATTTATGACAACAATTCCCACTACGATGTAAAATCGAAACTGATGGAAAAATATTAAAACAGGAAACAAGGTTTAGATATCTGGCAATAAATACAACTAATTACGGAGATGTTGAAAAAGAAATACGACAACAAAGCTTATAAGTAAGTAAAGCGGCGGGATGTGACAAAATTTTAAAGAACAAACACCTAAGACAAGACACAAAAACTTTCTTCTAGTTCCATGACCATTATCGATCGTTGGATATCGTGTTGGCTACCACATTCGCTATCGTGACTTTATGAACAGCAGCTCTAAATAATGATGTATTTGATTTTCCATACCATTGCCTTAGATTTTTCAGCCATGATGTTCTTCTTCAGGACCACGATTACCTTGGATCTTTCCCTGAATGATCAGATGTAAAAAATCATATTTTTCAGGGTGTCTCAAATGTGACCGAAGTATTCCAGCTTGCGTTTCTTTGTTATATTGACCAGTTGTGTTGTTTGGTTCAGCCGTCTAAGGACCTTCTCATTTCTAACTCTGTCGACCCAGCTTATTTTCAGTAGTCGTCTGTATAATCACATCTCAAAGGCTGTTAAGCGTTTAAGGATAGCCTCAGTTAGAGTCCACGCTTCCACTCCATACATCAGAACAGGAAAGATGTAGCAAGATGTCATTCGAACTCTAAGGTCGTACGTTTCTCATTTTTATAAAGGCAGCTAGGGTTTGTTCTATTCGGCTTTTAATTTCTGCGGTTGGATCTCAGCTCTCATTGATATTACTGCCGAGATACACGAGTTTTTCTACTCTGTCTAGTGTGGCATCTCCGACTGTTATACCGTCATTCTGGATATAATTTTGTTTGCTAACTATCATATATTTAGTTTTCTTAACGTTGAGTTTTAATCCATACTGACCACAAGTCTGTTTTATTTTGTTCATTAAATTTTGAAGGTCATCTCCGCAATAAGCAAGGACTAAGGTATCGTCGGCATATCTAATATTGTTGACGGTTACTCCATTCACAATAATACCTTAAGTTGTCTCCATTAAAGATTTCCTCCAAATATAAGTTAAAAAGTAAAGGCGACAATATACAGCCTTGTTTCACTCCTCTTTTTATATTTATTTAATCCGACAGTTCTTGTTTAACCTTTATTCTTGCCACTTGATGCCAGTATAGATTTGTAATTATTCGTAGATCTTTATCGTTCAATCCAGCTGTTTCCAATATTTCTAGCATTGTGTTATGTCGGACTTTGTCAAAAGCCTTTTCAAAATCGATTGCACAAATGTTACACATTTTGATTTATATCTCTGCATCTTTGTACTAGCACCTGTATACTAAACAAGGCTTCTCTTGTACCCAAGCCACTCCTAAACCCAAATTGAGTATTGCTAATTCTGTCCTCTAACAGCGTGTAAATTCTGCTGTGTATTACTCGCAGTAAGATCTTCAAAACGTGACTCATCAGACATATTGTCCGATAATCACCGCATGTCTTTGGACGATGTTTCTTAGGTATTGTGACAATTGTCGACTTTAACCAATCAGTTGGTAATATCCCATTGTCATAAATTCTGTTAAAAAAATTACACAGAGCTTTAATTCCATTTTCTCCCAAAAACTTTAGTATTTCAGCACTTACTTCATCGGGGGCCAAGCGCTTTTCCATTTTTTGTCGTTTGTTTTGAACATGTAACCTCACTTTCTGTTATAGATATAGCAATCGGTGTATAGGGTTCTACTCTCTCATCTTCAAATAATTCAGAAATGTAGTTTTCCTACTCTTTTAACTGTTCATTGATGTCTAATATTCTGTGTCCGTTTCTGTCTTCTAAACTTTGGGATACTTGTTTCCGTTTGTTTCCAGCGACCTCTTTTAATTTCTTGTGCAGATGAAATGTATCGTGTTTCTTTTCATATTGTTCAATTTCATTACATTATTTACTATGAAATTGTGTTTTCGCGTGTCTTTTCTTCTGCCTGATTATTGCGTGGATCCTCTTGTATTGGTTTTTATTTTTATTTCTGACTTCTCTTCTTTGATCCATAAGTCTCAGTATTTCTTCTGTCATCCACCCATGTTTTTTTCTTGCTTTTAGAGCACTAAATTTTGTTTCTTGAACAATCTTTAATATGTCTTTAATTCTCTTCCAGTTTTCCTCAGTACTTTCTTCTTTGCTTGATGTTAACTTCATTTTTTGTTCTAATATACTAGTTATTTCTTGTTTTACAGTAATATTTAGCATCTTTTCTCTATCAGTATTGGCAGACCAAGAAGAAGGTGGATCGCTAATTTAAACAATTTAGGAGGCTAATATTGAATAAGACACAGGCCTACAGAGCCTACATGCAAGACGAAAGAAGAAGAAGTCATATCTTTAAATTCAAAAATAAGTTAGCCAGAATGTGTTGCGTATCATGAAAAGTACAACTACTAGAAATTCAAACGCCACCTGACCCATGGAAAGGCTTAGTTTCCGTTATTGATCCAGATTCAATCTCGTTCCTGAAGTCCATTCGAACATTCAATACATACTTTCAAATGACATTGTGCGGACCAATAAAAATTTCACAATTATTTAACAAAGAGCCAACAATGAATGGTTGGTGTATTGATATTGTTCTAGATCGTCATAGTTAACAGCACACTACTTTGCGTCATAGACCCCATCCACATATTCTTAGAATAACTTCGTTATTTTTTTATTGAGCGATAAAAAAAAATTCACTGGAAATAATTTATACCATAAACCAATGCTTGCTTGGTCAGCTAGTTTTTATATATTATTAAATTATTATAGACTTATGATTCTATATCATATTGTTGAACAGAAAAGCAAATTTTTTTGAGTTCATTTGAAAACAAATAATACTTTTATGCGTAAATCTTCTCATAACTATTCAAAAGTTATTATGAACTTAAATCTGTAAATAGCTTATCAAACTTATGTGCTCATTAAGAGAGTTTTTTAAGAAAGTGAATATTTTCTTAAACGAAATAGAAATTTTTAAGTAAACTGTTAAAATTTAAAGTACCTTGAGAGTAAGTCTGGGCATGTAAGTTTTCAACGCCACTTCCATATCCACTACCCAAAAGTTGCGAAGATGATTCCAAACCGCCTCCAAGGACGGAAGAGGATTGTAAACCACCTCCAAGAACGGAAGAGGATTGCAAACCACTTCCAAGGACGGAAGAGGATTGTAAACCACCTCCAAGAACGGAAGAGGATTGCAAATCACCTCCAAGGACGGAAGATGATTGTCCGAACAATTGAGAAGAGGAACCATACTGGACTGCTGGTACGGCACCAGAATATCCTGAGTAGGCTTCGAAGCTCCTCTTCTTTCCCTTCTTATCTTCCTTATCAGCAGCGCTGGTCAAGGCCAATACGGCCAAGCAAACAATCTGAAACGTGGAAAAATGTTAGGTTCTATACTTGAAGATATTTATTTAGAGATAGACTTCCTAAAGGCCGAAAATAATGTTCGATAAATATGATTCGTGCAGACTATATATAAAATCCACAATTATTATATATGTATTACGTTTAAAATTTAAATAAACCCGGGAGTGGTTTTAAAATTATATGTTGCTACTGATGCATAAGAGTATTTCAAAACATCCGCTCGAAGATAACGAAGAAAAATGGATCTGTCACGAAATAATGTAATACCATTATAAGATTATCATTTGCAAACCAAATATTTAAGAGATGTATTTTCTCCACATGATTAAAAGCTACTTGACCTGATATAATTCATTCTTAACGTGAAAGATGCGACAGGTCGTGATTATGTAACTCTTAAGATACGAATACAGCGAAAGAAAGTTGAAATATATATTTATGGAAGCGAAAAGGATGATGCACAGCCCTAAAAGTACAATATTATTTTGCTTAAATTATATAATTTTTTTGATGCAGTAAAAAAACGAGCAAAAAATTGTAAACTTTATTACAAAAATAATATTGTGCCTTATTTTACATATTTATTTTCTAAAATAACATTCTCATCATAGTTAATATGTAGTTACTACCAAACAATTCTTAGAAAATATTGCCGCTGCCCTTAGTTTATCGAAAAGTTATTATAATATATGGTCCTTGTTACAGCATTGTGTCGAAACATTAATTATTGCTTATATAGTAATACGAAAGTATTAATATTTTACTCATAAATATGTTGTAAAGGCATAATATTAACCAATGTAAGGATATTGACAAGTAGGGTTAACAATACTTTTCTAAAATTTAAATAATGAGAGATGTGGGCGACAAAATATAGATATAGCCGGTTTAAACTATAAAACAAGAACATATATGGAGTGGCTTCGGAACGCTAATATACATTTTAAAAATCAACCTTTTCTAATAAAATCAAGAAAATATTCCAATAATGTGCCATTGGAAAAGAAACCTTCTTATTCACACCCTTTCGAAGATAAAGTGAACAATTTTTAACTTTAATTTTTAATAAGTTTAGAGATAAATATCAACAGGGTGGATCAGACTATATAATTATATAGAATGTCCTATTTACAACGTGTTGAGACCTCTGTTTCCAATCTCCAGTCTCCAATCACGGCTAACGGCATAGTCTTCTGGTCGTAAATCTCTTTCTGATATTGCATTTTGGACTCCATCGAGCCATGTTGTCTTCGGTCTTTCCCGATTTTTTTCGCTCAGATGGCAACCAATCAAATATTAATTCCGGTAAGCCATGGTCTGTCATTCTCTATATTTCTTCTATGATGGTATTTGTTCTATAAATGATTTTTCTTATTCTTGCATTTGTTACGTGCATCTTTCTAGGTAAACCTGCTGATCTGAGCGAAAAATCTATTTTCAGAAGAAGTTTTTGTTTCGTTATTTTAGTGAGTTGCCAGGTTTCACATCCAGCAATTACAATGCTTTTAAAAATACTGTTATTTAGATATTTTTCTGTTTTAGGATAGATTTTTTTTTCGTAAGTTTTATTCTTTGATTTTTGTTTCAGTGCATTTCTTTTCATCTTTGCCACTAAGATTCGGAACATGTGAAAATACCTTTGCAATTTTGCTTCTTAACCATAATATTCTAAGGATATTCTAATAATAACTGGATGTTAATTTTTATTTTTGATCTAAGATAGTGTAAGTATCGTTGTATTGCTTTCTCAAGTCCAATATTAATAGGCGAACTTTTTAATAATTGCCATAGTCTATATATGGATATTATATCATAAGCTTTTGTCAAATTCATACATATTAGATGAGGTGATCTATCCCTAGCCGAGTAAATAAAAGGGATCCTCTCTGATAGTTTTGGAATAAGGGTCTGTGGCTCACCAGAACTGCAGAGAGGTGAACTCGATTTCTATAGCGCCTTTCCGACGGGCGGTGACTCTGGCTAATATAAGTAGTTATAGTAGTAATTAGCAAGTAAATAGATAAAAAGAAAGAATCGATTGCGGTTCGCACCTGAGGATGAGTAGTTGCAGTAGTTGCTCCCTTCTTATGAAGTAAGACGATTTCCGCGTTATTCCACTGCGTCGGTGTTATCATTTTATTATCATACACACATTTATTGAACAGTTTAGCAAGTGTCAGTAAGAGCTTATTTCCTCCTAGTTTTAGGCTTTTGGTCATTACCCTTTTTACACGTGGGGATTTATTGTTCTTCATCACCCGAAGTGCATTTTTAATTTTGTCAACAGTTATCTTCGGCATTAATTCTGAGCCTTGATTCTCTATCTTTGGTAAATGGCGTCTTTCATTGGATTCACTTGTTTCATAGAGTTGTCTGTAGAAGTCTTCCACTGTTTTCACTATTTCTTCCTTATCAGTCACAATGTCGTCTTGTTTATTTCTTAACTTATGTATGTTCTTTTTCCTGTGGACATTTTGTGTCTTAGAACTTTCAGACCTCTATTTTTCTCTATCACCCTTGTCACCTCTCTCATGTTATGTTGCCGTATGTCTTTTCGGATTTCTTTGTTTATTGTTTTACTGAGTTGACTAAATTCTGCATAGTTTGTGTTATACCTGTGCTTTAGCCTCCTTCTTTCTTTGATCAGATTTTAAGTGTTGAGACTTATTTTCTCATGTTTTTTCTTGATTTTAGGACAGCACAACTTCTCCGCAATAAGGGGAAATATATGGGCTACTTATGTTGGTAATAGGAAGACTACAGTATGTAGAACTGTAAATTACTGGATTCCAGAAAGTCATGAGCAATATTGGGAGAAAATTCCAAAACAAACATACGGGAAAGCTTTACTGTTGAACTATGTACAAAAAGAACAGACGAACTGCTTTATATGGGCAGGAATAAACTGAGCACTTTAACAGAATTTTTAACTGGTCATGCACCTGTAAAAGAATTTTTGAATAAACATAAACTTAAAATAATGCCTAAAGGTATTAACAATGGATACCCTATCCAAAGATTCTATGATAAGGAACCAAAAACTGTAAAACATGTATTATGAGATTGCAAGGCACTGGAGCGCAAGAGACAAAAATGATATGGGTAACCAAAAGGAGTCCCTGGTGTATTTAGGACACATTAAGTAAAAGATGGCTACAAGCGGCCCAGTGTAGAGAACACTGGAAAGAACTGAGGGAGGCCTATGTCCAGCAGTGGACGCGATTGGCTGATTGATGAAGTAAAAGACCTGTACAAACTTATATAAAGTGCAAAAATTCTACACTGGGTGTAGGAAACAACAGTTGGCAGCAAACACAGCAATAAGCTTTAGCTTCAGTGATACCGGAGACCTTTTTATATGAGATGAAAATATGGCCTTTAAGATAGAACAAATAAAGAAGTTAGAAGTATTTGACATGTGCGGTTATAGATAGATGCTCAAGATACCATGAATGTAATGAGTTACTTATGCCGAAGGACTGAGATGATTACAAAAAAAAAGTGCAAAATAATTAGGACAATCAAAGTGAAATTGAAAAATCTCTTACTGGACATATTACTGGAGATGAGAATTATGAAACGATAAGACTTTTCATGCAAGGTATAATCAAAATTAATAGTTGTTTCTGAGTCAGAAATCTTCGAGAATATTATCTCGAAAGGTCAGTAGACTTCCTCAGAGCAGTTGCAAAGTAAGTGCGAATAGCTACGATCATAACCAACCGCGCATATGGGAAGGAACCATAAGATAACAAGAAAAATAAATAAATAGACAAAAGGGAGAAATCGAATGTGAACTAAATTGTAAACAATGAACCAAATTGGAATGGCAGTTAATGCATAGACAAATGAATAATGCATATAAACTTGTTATAGAATTTCAATAGCAGTACAATGAGTTTATAACGCAGATTCATGGATTTTTTAAATCACAGAATACATAAGAATACATACAAAGTAATGAAAACCCATAAGAATGAGATAAAATTGAGAAAATCACATAAAAAATAATCAATTAAACATTTTAAACAACCACGGACCCAAGAAGATGCAGTACACATTTATGTAACAGATAAGGATGTAAAATGATTAAATAAAATTGATATAGAATGAATGAATCAAGCTTTAAAGAAATCATCTAATAGAAAATCAACAGAATTAGATGGTGTTCATCTGAAGCTGTTCAATGTTGGTGGTTTCATGCGGCAACTAGGCTTCCCTACATCAACTTAATATGTTTTGTAAAAAAACTATAAATATATTACCAAACCTACAAAGCAAAAAGCCTTTTCTAAGTAGCATGTAAGTAAGACCGTTAACAGAATTAAACTCAGTATACGAAATAATGTATGTAATAAGAGCTGTCATAAAATAGCAGTACCAGTAGCAGTTTTATCATTGATAAAATAAAAACCGAAAAAGGGGCATATGTGGGTTCTTACCAATAAATAAAAAAACTAAATAGAAAAAAGTAATAAACTGTACGGACCCAATTAATATGCTTGTTACATAATACATAACGTAAATACCTATAAATACATCGCTTACATCTAAGTAAAAATAAATTAAAGTAGCTTTTTTATATCTGTAAATGAATTATAATGCTTGCAGCAAAACTATTTCATCCAATACAACCTTGAAGTGAGTATAGTAAAAATATGTATTAAGAGTTTGCACAAATATTCATTACCTACATATACTTAAATAAAGGATGAAACTTACCAACAGTCCTTTCATTTTGAGCACTCTTCCACACAAATGCCACATTCAGATATAAAAAAGCTTTTATAGAAACAAAAACCTGTTGAAGGTTAAATTTCTAATGAGTTTTTTGCCATTATACTAGTTTCCTGACCAGTAATATGTCATTTGAATATTGAATCTTATCAAAATTATGCAAAATATGGACGCACGAATCATTCAAATTTAGTGATATCGATTTTTGTTAAATTTAGAATTGGGTCAACAGCATCCTGATTCTTTAAGATTCGCTGTTTCATGGGCGGGTAACCGGACAATTGCATAATACTAGTGCTAGCACAGAGATAACTTCTCTTAAATTCTTTTAACTTTCAATAGAGTTCGATATTTTATCGTTTTAAAACTTTTAAGAGGGTTATTTTCTCTTGAGTTTATTTAAACATTATCGGTAAGATATCAGTGATAACTTAGATTTAGTTAAGTTTGAAAAAAATGTGTAAATGTCAAAACACATTTTATTACATACTTAGTAATTATAGTCCAGTCTTCAGAGATGTGACCTCTAAAAATCATACGAACAAGCTGAATTTTGCGGAAAATGTCACATTTGGGTCAAAATATATGTAAAAAAGTTTAACACTTTTACTGTCCATATAATTTTTACAGGGTCATTGGCATTTTCATCTGCATTAGCCTCCTGGCCCATTATAACAGCCTGCATTTGTTTTGGCAATGTAGTAATTAAATTTTTAACATGAAGTTGGTTCTATTTGTCTCATATTTTTTAAAGACCCGTATTAAGCACCGGCAAGTTGTTTGGGCGGGGAACCAAACTTGAGTTCATCTTTCCAGTAGGTCCCATATATGTCCCATAATATATGCTCGATTGGATTAAGGTAGGGCACGGAAGCTGGCCAATTTATAAGAAGAATTTCGACGTCTTCAAGTATTCATTGACCATTCTAGTCGGTAAGGGGACACAATGGTGGCAGGTGTTATCGTCCATAAAAATAAAACTAGGTCCTGTAAATGACAGAAATGGTACCACATGCTCATATAAAATAGTTGGTATACACCGTGCTTCTGTTATAGTACTTCCATCAACAAGAATTCAGTCAGTACAGGTATCTACACTTATACCAGCCCATACTACAACTGAGCCTCCTCAGTAGGTTATCCTGTCGGCAATATTGCATTGGGCAAACCGTTTACTTGGTGTTCTCCAGATTCTTTTACGAATGTATGGTAACCTCAAGCAAAACCTGAATTCATCTACGAACAAAATATCACTCCAATCTGCGTAAATCCAATTTTGGTTTTTCCAAAACTGCACTGGTGTTCTGCAAAACCAAGTCTAGCTTTGCTGTGTTTCGCGAATAGCTGTAGAGAAAGAACCACTAGTCTTTTAGATAGTGACCTTCTAGTTGCCGTTTTGATTTAACTGTTGAATAGCTCTTTGAACTGCACAACGACATACATCTAGCACCTGGGTGGCATAATATTGGTTACAACTATTTTTCACTAAAGCCATGACCCTGCAGCATTCGTTGGTGATAATGTCATTTTAATATAAATAAAAATACCGAACTTAAAACGTTTCATACCAAATTTGTCTAGTTATTAAAATCAGTATGATAGCATATTAATATCTTGCTGTTTATAAAACTTAAAATTTTTGACAAAAATATAAATTCCTACTCTTTATAAGGAAGGTCATAAAAATTTTGTACTTTGACGAGGCTTCTTCCAAATTCATATGTGCCATGCAATGTTTATAAGTTTTAAAAGTTGAGATAAATGGAAAATTACGAGAAGACATTTGTCTTCACAGTAATTCGGACACTAATTATACTTGGGCAGCCTTAATCAGCAATATAGTTAATGACTGATATCCAAAAAATACGAGAATTCAACATCAAAAGTAAAAACAGAATAAAAATTATAAAAGAGACAGAGAGATCAGACAAGGAGATTCTATCTCACGAAAGCTTTTTACTTTAACCATAGAAGATACGTTTCGTACTTTAGAGTGGGAAAATATAAAAGAGTGACGATAGACAGCGAAAAAGTAAACCATCTAATATTTGCCAATGATGTTGTATAAACGGCAAAAGACATGAAAACATTGCAGATATTAGATCTACATACGGAATCAATAGAAATATGACTGAAAATAAATCTTGCAACAACTAAACATTTAACAAACGAGTTTCTAGATATAACTGAAGATACAACTTTAGAGAATAATAATATAAAAAAGGTTAAATCGAATATATACTTAGGACAAAATATCTAACTCTTAAACTTTAATCTCAAGGCTGAGTTAAATAAGAGATGTTCCGTAAACTTTTATTGAAGATTATAAAAAGTCTTTAAATCAAACTTACCGAAAACTGTAAAGGCAAAAACTTTCGACCATTATCTAATGCCGGTCCTGAAATATGTAATAACATTGACTTTTACAACAATATAGTCTACAAAATTCAAGTGATTCAGAAAGCTATGGAATGGATAAAGCTCAATATTAAGCTCAGAAATATCACATCAAATGAAGAAATAAGACGACAATTAAAAGTAACATTTGCAATCCAAAAGATTGCTGGGTTAAAATTGAACAGGGAGGATACGTAGATACGTAAATGTATGTGAATAACTTGTGACCAATGCAAAATAAAAAGCATAAATGAATGGAACAGGCAGATCAGTCAAATGATTAAGAACAGAGTAGATATAATAGCCCAAGATAATTGGCCAATTAGAGAAAGAATCACATGTCGTCTACAAATAATATTGAATGATAATATTTCACCAAGGTAGAAGCTAACGTCAAAGAACAAAGGAAACCAAAAAGTTATGTATATAAATCAAAAAGAGGAAGAGGAAGAAAATGCATTCGAACCTTTAAGGCCTTTACTTAGCTCACATTCCGTGTCTATGGGTAAACAATATAAAAATTGGCAAATTCTTCTCTACAATGACGAAAACAGCCGATATCAGTGTTCATCAAGACAGTACAATTTGTCACATATCTCGAGTACCAACCGAGTATATGGAAACTAAAAAAACTAGTTAATAAATCATCTGATGAATGGATGTTATTTAATACCAGATTTACCAAAAATAACGTTGCTTTTCCAAAAGACAATAATAAATTGAGACAATGAAAGAATTGAACACGTGGATTCGTACATCTACTTGGGAACAACAGTTAACTCAAATTAGGATCAAGCGAAGGAAATACGTATAAGAGTAGAAAAGGCAAGAGCATCGTTTACTAGCATGAAGCAAATTTTTAACTCTAAAAGACTCACCCTACCTCTCAAAATTCGACTTCTGAAGTGTTATGTATTCCCGGTTTTGTTATATGAAATGGAGGCGTGGACAATGACCGCAACATTAATGAAAAAAATAGAGGCCTTCGACATGTGGGCTTACCGACGTACATTACGTATATCCTGGACTGAGCAAGTGACCAACGAAGATGTACTACGCCGGATAGGTAAAGAGAGAGAGGTAGGAATAAGTATAAAGAAAAGAAAGTTGGAATACTTGGGTCACGTTATGAGACATAATAAATATAGAGTACTACAGCTGATCGTTCAAGGGAAAATAGACAGCAGAAGGGGTGCAGGGAGGAGAAGACACTCGTGGCTCCAAAACTTGCGGCAATGGTTCGGATTGTCATCTGCTGAATAATTCAGATTTGCCGTAAACAAAGTCAGAATAGCCATGTTAATTGCCAACGTTCGGAACAGACAAGGCACACGAAGCAGAAGAATAATAAATTGCGCGAAAAACCATTAATCGTAGCAGAAGCTGCTGATACGTGTTTTGTGCACCGTTGATGAAGGCAAACATTGAATTGTGGTAAAAAATGTTTAGAAAGGTGATTGTAATACGTGAAATAATTTATATATTACAAATAAAAAATATTTAGAGAAAAATAGTTATTTTCAATGACAAATTACTAAGGTTTATAAATAGGATCCCTTGCACTAAAGCAGTAAATGGGAAAAAAGGCTTTATTTGAAGTAATTTTAGCTAAGAATGCTTATACTTTTATAAAAAGGATAGACTTTTTAATTAAAATAAGGAAGTAAATAAAAACCCCAGTCCCCGCCTTTGCAGAGAGCTTTAATAACCAGTAGAGATCACACTCAATTTAATGATCTAATCATAATATTTTTTCTTAATAGTTTTGTTTATATGACCACAGAGAAAAATCTGAATTTTAAATGAGAAGATCCAACATTTGACACTAGTAGAAAAGACCTTGCTAATTTATGCCTGATTACTATTATTTTTACGTAATAGGTTACTTGATTTCTATTTTTACTTTTTATTTATTAGATATCAATAACTATAAGAATTTTAAAAAATATTTAAAATACATAATATTTAGATAGAAATTAAGATTAGATTTTTGAATATTCAAATCAAAAAGACTATATCTTTTTTATTACTCAATAATTCCTTATTTAGTTATACCTTAGTTAATAATTTCATTCGTAGTTCGTCCACTTAGGTACATATAAACACATTATGTCTGAATATGCATGTGCTAAAGTAAGTTTAAAGTTATTAATCGAGAGCTGCAAGTGTGTACTAAAAAATGTCTCAAATACGCCATTAATATCTTCTTTGTGTGTCGTGGTTGTTTTCAAGCGTAGGCTATCACGGTATTAACAAATTGATGAAATGTTTCTCGGTCGGCAGCTGGATGAAACAATCCCTCAAACGTTAGACCTGTCCATTGTCTAATGTTACCCACCCAGAACAGTTGTTTTCTTTTGACCTATTGTTTTTTTTCGCTTTTGCCCTAAATGATCAACCTACATGCGATATTTAGGTTGTCTCATTATATCATTATATGGCCGAAGTATTGGACCTTTCTTATTTTGATCATGTTGATCAATTCTCGCTTTTTGTGCATGATCTATAGCACACGTTCTTCTACTTCCATTGCATAATACAGAACGCCAGTTAATAAAGCTTTTTCGCACACTGCTATTCTGGTTGAAATTTCTTTGTCACTTTTAACCGTGCAGTCAATCCAAC